CCATGCATCTTGATGTCAAGATGATCAATTAGATGTTCTCCAACGTCAAAATAGCCTTGTCCGATGGATTTTTGGGGTGCACCTTAATATTATAATTTGAGGCGTCAACCTTATGTAATTTTTTTTTATGGTTTAATTATTTAAGTTTGCGGGTGGTTTGCATAAGGTTGCAACCTTAAACAATCAAAGGTGCACCTCCAAACTTATCATAAGATGTAATTTGAGTGTCGAAAATTCTTAAGATGGCTTGAAAATCTATTTTCATCACTAATTATAAAATTTTAAGCTCCAAAAATGGTTCAAATAAAGTAGATATATAAATGGATGTAAATTTTGAAACTGGACAGTCCAGATAATGCATTGCAAGATCTACTATATTTGTGAACATTCTTTTTTATGGATTTTGAAGTGCACCTTAATTTTACAATGTAAGATGCCAACTTTATATAAACTTATCCTTCTATGTTTTTTGTGATTCCCAACTGATTTTAGCTATTTTTGCTAAAAAAATGTGATAATCAGCAAATTACATTGAACAAATTCCAAACAGCTTTTCAAAAAGATAAAACTTAATATGTAAGACTGCCTCCGGCCCTCCCAGTTTGTTCTCAAAATACTTTATGATGGTTATAACCAAACAACTTATGATGAATTATTAGGATTAATTCTATTTAGGGTGTGATTTGTCTAAGGTTGTAAATTTAAACAATTAAAGTCAAGCACACCTCCATATTTTATTGTAAATATAGTTTTGGTGTCAAAATTCTTAAGATGACTTGAGAATCTATTTAAATGGCGAACTATTGGATAACAAGAATATAAAAATATGCCTCTATAGTATTAAAATAAGACAATCAATGTGTCACATGTGAAATTAGATAGCTTAGGATGTGCTATTGATAATGGTCAAATTTTGATTTTTTTTTTTTTTAATTTTATAAGGAGAAATGAAAGATAACCTAAATCTGCTTTAGATATTTCTTATCTAAAGGCCAGGGGTGTGACCTTTTGTAGACTCAACCCGGGCATGATGCGCCGACTCAATAAGAGCAAGTAAAACAAAAAATAATTAAACTTCTCATTGAATCAACCCGAGAGAGACAGAGAGAAATTTAATGGTAAGTGATTGAATCTTAATGACAATTACCATTGTCATGATCGTTGTTTGTCGGAAGTTTTATTAGGATATTACGACGTTTGTCTTTTTAATCAAGAATTTGATGGGTAATTGGTAGCACGCTTAATACTTTATTTGCACGTGGTGACTTCTATTAATTGCACGTTAATACTTTAATTGCACGTGGTGACTTCTATTAATTGCACGTCATGGCTTTTATTCTCACTGACAGTTTGACATCATAAAAAACGAACATTTGCATTCTCCCTAAATTATCCAAAAAAATTGATGGATAATTATTATAACTTTAATATATTTATTTAATATAATATCCTTATTGAATAAAATTCTTATGATATTTAGTAAAATATGTTGAAATTTTTATAAGTAATATAATTATGTCTAATGCATAATAAAATTAACCAACAAAATATACCTATACAACTTAGTAGATTTAATGTATATATTGAATTTCTCATCGATATGCTTTGGATTTTAAAGCTATTTTCAAGTATGGTGTTTTTTAAAGCTTGATAAGCTAAATTTGCTATTAGACTGCATGCATATTGCATCTGTTTTTTTTTTTTTCTTTTTGAAATAATAGAAGGAAACCTCAAAATATCGTGATAAACTCATTTTACCAACGTATAATAAGAGTTATCATATGCCGTAGAATTTATTGTGATAAAAAAAGATAAATTCAACAATAATTGTCCGTAATGTTGGGACCCATTTATAAGCAGTCTATATAGAATATAGCTGACTTCGGAGTCATCCACCGTCCATTCTCAATGACGTATGGAGGAGATTAACGATTTGTATTGTGCAATATAAAGCACCGTGTGTATGTATAGTTTTACCATCAAACAATGACTGATGTCACCTATTTTCCAAAAGGAAAAAGTTTATATAAGGTTGCAACCTTAAAACGTAGAACTACATATGCACCTAAAAAATCTATCAGAAAAGGTTATTTTAATGTTGAAAAACCCTATAATTGATCATCTCAACATCAAGATGTATGACTATGAAAAATAAGAAGATTTTGAGTCTAAAAAACAGTGCATCTTATAACATATTATCTACACTATCCATTTTCAAGATTTTCATATGTTTATAGATTTACTTGATTTTAACTATTTTGAAATTTAAAATTTTATAATTAGATATAAAAATAGATATTGAAATAGTCCTAAGAACATTTTACATCAAAATTATATATTATGATAAAATTTGAATGTGCGCCTTAGTTGGATTGTTTAAAGTTGCAACCTTATGGAAACCACACCCTATGCAGAAAAGCAAGTAATACTGGGTAGTGATTTCATGCAATGGTTGTATAGTAATATGATGCAATAAACTTCAAAAGCTATGTTA